AGGAGCCCTGGCCAGGTTGGGGACTGATGCCAGGGGAGATCTGACCCCAGGCTGGGCTGGGAGGGCAGGTGTCACTCAGAAGCAAGGGGCTGGTTGGGGGGCTCAGTGCTGGGGGAGCCCTGGGGCAGGGCCATGTGTCAGTTCAGGGGAGCCATGAGGCATCAGCTCCTGCCCAGCTGGAGCAGAGCGCGAGAAGGCCCCAGCTGACCGTCAGGGTGCACCAAGGGCCGGCGCACGGGCCGGCGTCTCCCCCGAGGGAAAGGGGCTGGGAGTCGAGTGGGCTGGCAGGGCAGCCGCCCGGTCCCACAGTACCTGAGCCGGGCCAGGGATGGCAGCCAGGGTCAGCCAAGAGTCCAGATCGTCAGACACATCTATGGTGATGAGGTCCGAGGTTGAGCCAGGAAGGTGAGTCAGCAAGGGAGGTCAGGATCAGGTCCAGTGACAGCAACCAGGGTCAGCCACAGTCTAGTGATCGCCAGGCAAGTCCATAAAGACGAGGAAAGGCCGAGATCAAGCCGGGAAGTCAGTCTGTGGGTCAAGTTCCAGGTCCAGATTACTGGGGTCCATGGCCAAGCACAGGCATGGCTGTTGCTCCGGCCAGGCCCCAGCAGCAAAATCTCAACTTCAACCCGCTGCCACAAGAAGGGATGGTCGGCCCTGGCCGGGGCCCTTCTGCAAGAGCATATGGCAGCCTCTGCCCCACAGGTACTCTCTCAGTTGGCCCCAAGCCCAAGGAGTCAAACCCCCATAGCAGTGAGGGGTTGGAGGGAGAAAAGGAGGAATGCTCTCACAGCCTTTACAAATAGTTGCGGTAAAATCTGCAGTGACATTAATTTTCTCTGTAGCGGAGTCAGCAGGCCTCACACCTATCAGGCTCAGAGAAGCAGCTGGGCTGGCAGGGACCTCTGCAGGGCTCTGGCCCAAACTGCTGCTCAAAGCCGGCCACCTACAGCAGGCTGCTCAGGGCTTTTGCTTTGCTACACCAAGTGACGTACCTGGAATAATCTGTTGCACTCCATTATCATGTGGGCCAAGCCCTGCGTTGCTGCCAGGTTCTCACTCAGCTCCCTCTGGTCTGGCTTCCCCAAGCTGCACTTCCTCTGACTAGATCTACAGCGAGGGGAAGGCAAAAGGAAGGCTGTGAGAGCAAGGTGCTGTGAACCCCGAGTACAACATGCCTACTCGGCTGGCCTGCCTGGGGGCTGGAAACCAGCAGCTTCAGCAAAAACACTGCAGCTGCATTGAAGGACCCTTACGGGCCATGCAGGGGCTCATGTTATGTTACTGCAGCAAGGTCCATAGACAGCATCCCCTCCCAGCACACCCCAAAAGTGCCCAGGGCAGTACTGACCAGTAGTAATACATGGCCAAGACAGGCAAGTCAAGGCTTTTTGTTCCCCAAACACATCATCACACACTTGGCCAAAGACAGCCATGACTCCAAACCGATTTGTGTGCAGCCTTCAAATACCAAGCTCCTTTGATACCCTGCAAAGCCTACGCAGAAGTTTTAAATCCTTTGGCCCAAACCACACCGAACACGTTTCAAAAACAGTCCCCTCTTAATTCATAATCATTATATGACATCATTAATCCTGGCTTCTGATACTTTTATCTATGTGCAT